CTTTTTATTTCTCGAAACTAATTTACTATTTTAATGAAAATAAGAGGTAAATTAAGTGCACATTTATATTCAAAACGTGTTGAGGTACGATTTAATAAACTATAATGATGATACCTTTGTTGCCTCACATTATGTAAACACGCTCAAGATGAAATATTTATGAATTAAATTCGATGAGAAAAACGAAGAAATATTATCCACTAAAATTTATGTTAATGTACTTTTGTGTATGACAACCGCAAAAATTTTAACGAACTAATGAAAAACTTGCCTTGTCGCCACATATTTAACAGTGTGGCTGCGTAGATTAATACCACAAATGGGTTTGAAAAGGGAAACAAATTACAATGGTAAATCGAAATATTGGAGATAAAGTGCTTTGTTCCACCCCGTTTTGCCCCACGATCCCCTACATATACGTAGCCGATTAAATTTTTTTTAGACTTTTTCAATCTTGCTGTTCTTTGGTTGTCATGAATAAACTTAGTTTATTTGCTACATGCGAATAAATCATAATATTTGGTGACAGCCAGATAAGTACTTAATTATACAACTTTTTACAATTTTTCTTTCGAAAGAACTATAAACAAGAGGTACGATTTTTACATTCGTTGGAGGTTTGAAAAATTGTGCTTCTACGTAAAAAATATCTTTCTTATTATTGTATTTTTTTTTTCTTTATTAAGCCTATTCGAATACTGAATTTCTTTTATGGTAGAATCGATCTGAAAGTAAAAAGTACAGTCACTGGCAGTTATTCACAAATCAAATATACCTAAATAATTACATCAAAACTCTTTCGTGTGCGTGATTTATTCATTTGATTTCACTCTTGGTTAAAACCTGTTTGTCGGCTGACCGTTTTTAACCAACAAATTAAAAATTACCCTTCGGGGTGAAACATGACCATACTCTTATATTCATGCCTACGTTCATCTGTAAATAGCATTCATAAATTTAAAAAGAACCCTCCTGAATGCATCACTAACCAATCTGTGGGATTAAACAAAAAGTTTGTAGAACTTCATTCTGACATTTTTATTCTATACTGAGAAAACTAAGACACACTTTTTATTTTTCTCGTAAATGTTTTTTTTTTATAACTAAGTAAAGTAGGTACAAGATTAATAGTTGCACAAAACCTTTCCATTGTTATTTTCATTTTCATTAGAAAGTTGACGTTTAGTACAAGTGACCAACGCAAAATGACCATACAAATTTAAAATATCCAGAATTAAAACAAATAAACGGTAGCTTTCAAACTGACCGATTTCTATATTGATCTTTAGAAAGATAATATTTTACACAATGAACGAGCCGTAGATTTTAAGTGAATGAAACGCCAATTTCATAAATCCATGAACAATACCCTTCAAATACGTTTATCTACTTCAAGATCCCATTATCAACCTCTACCATTGTGCATTTTGTCAGTGGTTCAGTTCACACGGAGGTCGTGTTAAAAGAAAATTTAAAAAATGATTTAAAATTAAGAACAATTGAAGGGCATGAATCTAAACAGTGTTCTTTTGCGTTGTTTCCGTTTCCTCGTTGTTATAACTAATGTGTGTGAACAGCAAAATGCGCGCGCCCTCTTTTAGTCTCTGTATCAGCAATACAATTATTAATTTCAGAATCCTTGTAACTAATTCACTTTTTCTGCGCAAAATCATGTTTCATTTTTGTTTTTATTTCTAAGATTTCGTCGTGATTGCCAATATAAATAAAATTACGAGCTTTCATATGGTGTTGATTTTCACGTCAGTGATACAATAGCCTTAAACAATTCTATTTATGGATACAGAAAAAATACTGGTAATCATGTGAAAAACGAAAAATTAGTCCAAGGTTATTTCGACAAAACTTCCCTAGCCTCTGATGTATAACCCAACAAATCCTGCTTTTTTGAAATATTTTAAAAATTTTTTGCGATTTTTATTTTCTGAAAACTTCTATAAAGTTAAAACCAGTGACGTAAACAACATTCCCGCAGATTTTTTACTTTCAATTCTTCAATTTTTCATGTGTTTTTGTTTCATCAGTTTTTCGATTTGCAATTTTTGGAGTTTTCAAGTTTAAATTTGTCACTTTCCAGTTTTCTAACTTTCGAATTTTTCAATTTTTAAAATTTTGCAATATTTCAATTTAAACTTTCTCAAGTTTTAAATTTTTAAATTTTTCAGTTTTTCGATTCTTTAATTTTTTGTTTCTTCAAATTTTCGATCTGCAATTTTTCGTTCCGGTTTTTTGTTTTTTTTTATTGTTACACATTTTTCAATGTTCCGATTTTCTAATTTTTTGGTTTTTCAGTTTCAATTTTTTTTGCGTTTTAAATTTCTCATTTTTTTTGTTTCTTCAATTTTACGATGTAACTCTCAAGTGCAATTTTTGGTTTCAGTTTTGATGTTCTCTATTTTTCAATTTTTGGATATTTCAATTTTTCGGTTTTCATTTTTTTTTTCAATTTTCGATTATTGGATTTTACAACTTTCATTTATTTGATTTTTCAATTATTCGATTTTTAATTTTTGATTTTCTCGATATTTAATTTTCCAATTATTCGATCTTTCAATGTTACAGTTTTTCGACCTTACAGTTTTGACAATTCTATAATTTTTCGATTTTACAATGTTTGGGTTTTGCAATTTTTCGTTTTTTCTTCTTTCTAATTTTCGATTAATTAATTTTTCTCGATTTTTAAGTTTTCAATGTTCCAATTTTTTTTTCAGTTTCTCGTTTTTTCAGTTTTTCTATTTCTCAATTTTTTCCGATTTTTTAATTTTTCAAAATTTCGAATAAAAAGTATAAAATGAAAACTTTGAAAAATCTAAAAACTGAAAAGCAAGAATTTGAAAAATTGAAACAAAAAATTCAAAAATCGAAATATTAAAAACGGAGAAACTTAAAAATTAAAAAAGTGCAAAGTCGGAAAATAGAAATATTGTAAAATCGAAAAATTCAAAATGAAATAAAGCGGAAAATCGGGTAATTGAAAATTCTAAAAATTACAAAATTGAATAATTTAAAAATTGGAAAATCGAGGAACTGAAAAATGAAATATTGAAAATTCGAAAAATTGAATTAGCGAAAAATTATAAAATCGAAAGAAACATTGAAAAAATAAAGGAAATGAAAAACCGACAAACTGTGATATACAAACGAGAAAATGAATATGAAAAATTGAAACGTCTAAAAATTAAAAATTGAAAAACTGAAAATTCGAAAAAAGAAAAATTGCAAAATTGAAAAATTATAAATCGAAAAATTAAAAAAGTGAAGAAACGAAAAATTATGGACCCGAAAGAAAGTGAAAAAAGTCAGTAAATCCAGATTTTTCGAAAAATTACAAGATTGATTTAGCTTATTTTATTTTTATAATAGTCCTTATAAATTAAAATAAAGATATGAATGTAATATTAAAGTAAATGTAAAGAAGCATGCTACGTGTTTGTTTCAAGTGAGTTTTTCCATTACAAAATTTTGTGTTGAGGTCAGGATAGATGAAGTGTATAATACTAATAATACCAGCACTCTATTCCCAAATTTTAGGAAAAATGGAGTAAGTCGTTCTTGATTTAATCAATATCCTTAATTTTTTTGAGTCACCTTTTATAACTAATTTTAAAAACTGAGTGCATTGATAAATCACAATAATTATAGAGTCATATTTTGCATATTTTAGAGAGGATTTATTCGGTAAAATTTTGAGATGACGTCATACATTTTTTGGAAGGGTAAACCGAATAAATTGTGATTAACGATTTACCATAATTACTGTAACCTTAAAACATTTACAAGATTTCAGAGCATTCAGTTTTGGAGTGTCAAAGTTAAATTTCAGATTGTTGTTATGTGTACAATTTATTTTTTTTCCCAAAATCTGGATGTCTATGGTTAAAACTTGAACACGGATTCATAAACCACCGATGATAGATTATCTTATTTTATAAAATTAATATAATATTTACTAATGTAAATTTTGGAGATGTTAATCCAAATTTTGGTTAGCATTTTACTATTTACACGCTAATCCTAATACAAAATTTCACAAGAATCGGTCCAGACAGACAGACGGAAACGAGGGACCAATTTTTTCATATTCCAAGGATCATGAAACGCCGAGAAAACTTGATTACAATAGTTTCTGAGCGTAAGCTAAGTGACTTTATTTGAAAATAATTAAACTGTTATCTCCAGACACTACAATATAACTAAGCTTCTTTACACAATACTTTAATAATATTAATACTGAAAAGTCCTAATTTGTATGACAAGGATGTTAAAAAATTAGTAATTTTTCCTCTGACTTAAGTAAAGATACAAAAATGTGAGTTGCAGCATTGATTTTAGCAATTAAAGGTCGACTTTCTAAAATACTTTAGATTAATTTTAAATACGCAGGATGTTTTCATTATAACAAGTAAAATAAATGTTTTAAAATATTTTCACGTGTGTTTATAAAGTGCACATAACAATATAAACCGCATTATCATGGTCTTTATATATCTAACAGTAAAACTAGCGATCTTTAAAACATCCATTCACTAATAGCTCCCTTTTATAGTGCGAAAACTTTATACATCAAATGCGGCAAAAGCTAAATTTAATTTAGTTTAAAAAAAAAGATAACTTTACATTTACAAACGAAAAGACGGGAAGATAGAGTACGTAACCGTCATAATACTGTTGACTCTACTTTAATAATCTAGTCAACTTGTGATTAAACGTAGTTTTTACCGCATACCGATGCTTCAGATTGTAACGAAGTTATTACCTTGGAACTAAAATTGTAATATTACCCGAATTTCATACTTTACAATTTAGTAGTGAGCTGAAATCAGCCACGGAATGTCTAACCCATCCAACAAAAAATAAACCTCATTTTCCCAGAATTTAAGCGTGCTTTTACAAGCATCTGCCGAAACGCCGGTATCTCATCTTCCTAAATTATGCAATAAACATGCTCGTTAAACCCTGACAAGAATTTCCGAATGTTTCAGGGCCCTATTTCGGTGTTGTCCGATGCCGGCTCGCAAGGGGCTCCTCGCGCCCCAAAACACCTTCCTCGATACCATAGCAACAAGATTCGACGGAACACGTAAGTACCACTAAAATCAAATTTTTCCCTCGAAATCTCCTGTCCGATGTCTTTACTTATCAGCCTGAAAACCATCAAAACCCATTGTTGTCGTTGTCTCTATCGCCACCCATAAATTTCGGATGTCGCCGACACGCGTCATACAATTCCTTCTGTTGATTCAACTGAAAACGCTCCACCTGTTGCTCTCTCATTCTGTTGCATCGCCTCGAACATATTGCCATTTTTCAGTGACCGCATCGTTTCAGGATCGATTTTCGAGAAGAAGGGGTATTTCGAAGAATGTTGGGGTTGAGGACCGAGACGGTGGTTCATTTGGGGTTTACGGCGGGGATAAGTCAGGACATTTGCATTAAAAAGGACGAATTTAATTTCGGGCGAAGTTTCATGTTGAGAGTTTAGCGTTGTCGAAGTATTAATGTCTGAAAGGTGGGGAGCATGACAAAATTAAAAAATATGTGTCCTTACGACGGTGGCGGGTTTTGTTTAATTAATAGAAGGAAAAAATCAACTTCAACGCGAATTTAAAATTTTGTTGAAATATTTACTTCTGTATATAAATATTTAAATGAAAAAATTACGTTTTTTTATTAATAATAATAAACGAATTGGGGCGGTTAACATCCTTGCCCGAATCACTTTCGCTATATATGAACAATTCGTCGACGAATTCTAATATAGCATATCACGAAAAATGCCATTTTGAGATATTTCAAGTAAATAACAGCAATAACAGCATTATAAAGGATTCTATTTTACAGCAGCAATAACATCGCTCCAGTTGTAAATCAGAAGTGTTACTAATATTAAACGATTAAATTTATGATGTATTTGAACAGCAAAATTGATACATTTGTTTATGTCCAGTATTTATTGCGATTATTGTTACTGTTTTAATCATGTCAAATTAAGTTCACTAATTACATGTTCTATTTAACAAAAACAACACAATTTCAAAGTATGTTAAGAGCAACTTTTGCTACAAAATAAATTATCATAATATACTTATAGCTCATAAATTACACTTTTTGAAATTTTGTACTTACCTAAGTAATCTCAAAAAATAAACATGTGGTGGAAAATGAACTGAAGCAAATTTCAATTACTCTTTTCGAAATTTCATTTCAATAATCCTTTTAAAATGCAATTCGTTTTTTACTTATTGTTAAATTAGATGAACATCGGAAGCCTGTTCACATTTGGACACTCATATTAATTTAATTTTCATTGTTTTCGAAGGGACAAAGCTTTGGGTCTATTACGGATATATATTCTAATAACAAAGGATGTTATTAAAATTAAAATGCTATTTATAAAACTTTTCGCAACAGGATTATCAGTCTGACAACCCTTGAGGACAAAGTTCTCAACATTTACATTTTCATTTGCATTTATCACTGCAATGAACAAAAATGAAAACTACGGTCTTTAGGTCTGGATTAACATTTCTTCGATGATCATGGAATTTCGAACTGTTTAAACTCGTAGAACTTCAAATCGCACAATCAATCGGAAAAAGGGTTCCTTCTGTATCTTTCTTGCAGTTTTAAGATTAAAGAAATTAAAATTCTACGTGAATAAAAGCATTAAATTTTAAAATTTTAATAGTTTGCATGTTGTTGGCTGGCCTGAGCGAGGGTACAAAATTTCCGCAAGAAAAGAGAGAACAACCTGGAGTGTGGCATATTTTGCAGGATTTATTAAAACTCATCTTCCAGCTTTGTTTTCTATTATCACGTCTATAAAAAACTACTAATACAATTTGCTTTGGTTTGTGTAGATTATATATACACACATTTCGCGGCTAGTGTACTTTGCTCTAGCGTAAAATTATAATAAACTATCCACATTAATAAATATTCATTAAAAAACTGCTGCTTTTCGTCGAACTCATCTATTCCCAACGTCAATCTTTTCTGATTTATTAACTGTCATAATTTGTAAGAAATCGTTGTTTACTAAGTGCGTAAATGCGTGTTAATTTCTGCTGTTCATAAATAGTATCTAAGCATACTTCACTACCTCTCGAGCAAATTAACGCCCACACCCAGGTGTTTGCTTTTGTTATAATCTCCATAATAAAAGTTTGGTAGGAACAAAACCATTTCCGAACACAAACATTAACAAGATATGTTGATAGACGTTTTATTTATGACAAAGCAGTAAAAAGTGGATTAATTGAATATTCATTATCAATTAATTAAACAGCTGTTCGGTCTGCATCAGCCAATGACGCCTATTTACTTTATCTCCAGATTAATGTGTGTACTAACTTTGCGCATCGAACAAAATTAACAGTTTATTTTGGTGGAGCCGCGATCATTACATTTTACGTCATAGAACCACTTTTATAAAAGGAACCATCTGAATAGTCCTTTGAATTCCAGCTTCTGCAATTGTGTATGGTTCTGCACGTGCCATCCATCTTTAAATCGTCGGGATATTTTTATCTCTATTTCTATTTCATCAATATACGATAATTGAACTTGAAATAACATGGGCTCGTGGGCGATCAGAATTTGCAAGGTTTTACGAACGCGTTTACGAGTTTAGGTTAAATGCACTTAACGATCTTCATGGGCAGTTGTGATGGGCTTGTCAGCTCGTTAATCTTCGACACTGGATTTACCCAAAAATCCGAAGTTAATTGTCGATGTATTATTAGGTATTACATAGGTTACTATTGGTTTAACTGAATTTGAAGAGAAGTAAAATGGAAATTATCGTATTTCAGCTAGAGGCGTTTGAATTATTCAAGATTAACATTCATCCACGGATTAAATTGTTCATATTCAAAACAGTCTTTGGATTTAATCTCATTATACAGAGGAGTAAATTACTGAAAAAGTTTTCGTTTTCGTTACGTTCGTAAACTGGATTAGGACGTACTGCGAAATGTGATGAGTTGCGGTTTTTTTAAACCTACGGAACTTTGGTGCACGTTTGTGCTCCAAAACTTCATTTTATTCACCCGCTCTCTGTCTGTAATTTGGAACTTTACAGTCAACAAAAGTCTTAAATTTTTTTTGTCATATTTCCGTTTAAGTTTTAAATCATAAAAGTTTGATTACCCAAAGGTCTAGCGCCTGTTGATACTTTAAAAATAAATGATTAATAAGCGATGTGCAAAATTTTTACAAATCCCGTATCCTAAAAAAAGTACGCAAGTACAACCATTAATTTTATCGCAAAATGTTTGACCTAAATGAGATATTATAAAACTACTTTTAGTTAAGAAACACTATGTGAAGGAAAATTTTTAAAATTGGCCTACTGGGGTTACATTCTGGGTGCTTTTTTGCTGTTCAAAAACACAAAACCAATTAATTTCCATCAGAGGCTTCGTATGGAATATAAAGTCGCAGACAAAACTGGTTCGCAACAATAGGCTATATTCGATTTGCCAAAATTTTTAAACCATAGCCACTACACTTAAGTGGCAAAACAGAATATCACAAACGACAGGTAGAACTAAGTATATTTCACATCGAATTGTCGCTAAAGCCACATCTGAGTAATGATATTTCTTTGTCCCTAAGTTTTGTCTGCGAGTTTACTTCAAATTCATAACCTGCTCTGTTCACTTAAATTATATTTGTCGTCATTTTTCCTAACAAATAAAACCACAGAATATAAATTATGAAACGTCCTTCGTGGTGCTCCAATTTAAATTCAATTGGGAATCAGCTCGAGCACAATTGAAGGAGGAATTACGAATCCAGCAACCACCGCAAAACTGAAATGAGAACGCATACCTGAAACTGAAATTCTGGATTTAATTCAGAATCTTGTCGGTGTCTCGTCACGTCTGACTACTATTCTAAAATAATTTATTTTCGATGGGAATAGACACGTACTACATTCTGTAGGTGCAATCTAATCAAACACCGTTGACTACAGAATCGTGTAGTTCTGCCTTGCAAATAAGGTTAAGGTCTTACATGGGGTTGAAGAGGGTTAAAAGTCAAGTGGTAACGAATTTTGTTAGTGAAAACTTTCACCAGGAATCTTAATGCTAAAACTTCGGAACGTTTATTTAGGAGATGATGGTTTATGTCAAAATGTTTTATCGACGAGTAATCAAGTGGAAATATTGTTTTAAAAACGTGATGAGAAGGGATAACCGATTGATTAAGAGAGGCGAAACTTTGTTTGGAAGGTTTATTAATCAAACTTTTGATCTTCAAGGTGATGAAAATGCGGATGTCGTATATTCGACATAAAAATTTAACTTATAAATACAATTCAACGTTCAAGTCAACGTCAAGTATATCGGATAGATCTTGACTGAATTACATGGTATTGGGTATTATCAATTGTATCTATTACCATGTGTACTATTACAAAATTTTTCTTGTGATTTTTTCTTTAGAATGTTGATATACTTATATTTGATAGTTGATACCTTAGACGGTTGATAGTAGTAATGTCGAACGATGAATGGAATATCTACTCAGTTTTTTATCGTTAATTTAATTCCGTTAACCTACGGGGTGATAGGTCAACATTGCGAACAATGAACTCAGCATACCTCTACGATCAGACAACTGTTTTTATCTGCTTTTTTTTCATAATCTAATACTCGAAGGTTCGCTGAGAAATTCGATTAGAATTAGTAAGGAATCAAGCACAACAAAAAATGGACTCAACTGTCTGCATCGTAAGAGATAGACTCTTCTAAATCAATATTCAGACGATAAAAGTTAATCTACAGTTATGTCAAATAATTTAATAAGTTTTCCATCTGATAGGACAGCAGCTTTTTTTCATATTTTTCACACTAACCTCTGCAATGTATAAAGTCCATCGAACATTCGTTACCAAAATATTATTTTTCTTTCTTCTTGGTTGCCAAAAACAAGGATCGTTAAACTGCGTTATATCAGTAACACTTCACCTCTGTCGAGTTATGAGAATTCGTTTCTACATCAAATTCGTTAAACCAACAGTAAATGTAAATGTTTACAGACGTTTGTTCTGCTGTATCACTCTCGACATGA